GTGTGTGCGTGTGTGTGTGTGTGTGTTTTGTTGCAGTCACTCCTGTGTGTGTGTGTGTGTGTGTGAGTGAGCATGTCTTTTCTACATTGCATTTGTGCTCTAGTACCAGGCCTTCATTTCTGTGTGGAAATTTTCAGATTTATGCTGGATTCATTTTTTATTTTTTTTTTACAAATGAAAAAAAAAATTACAGATTTTTCCGCATTTCCCATTCATTTTCAGTTGGGATGCATTTTGAAGTGCCCGCTTTTGCAATTATGCCACATAAATGTGCAGAAATGCCACACAAGTTGTATATTTTTTTTTAATCTAAAACTCTTTTATTTTACTTAAATGTAAATTAAAACAACACCAAAAAACTAAAACAAAAAAGAAAACAAAAAACAACTGCAATAAGCATATGAATGGTGTGTGCGAGTGTGTGTGTGCGCGCGTTTTTGTGACAAATGAGGACATAAATGTGTATAATGACAAAGGTATGACAGGTATTACAAGGAGAAGGTGACTTACCAGATTTGTAAAAAAAAAAAAAAAAAAATCTACATACCTTCAGAACAACCGAATCAAGCCCATTTTTTTATGTGAATACAGATAGAAAATGTTGAAATTCACAAAATCTTATTCCACTGAGATGAAGGGAACCATTTTTTTTAACTAAGTAAATAAACTGGGGAAGTACCCCAAGGACCAATTGAGGGTTAATGAAGAGTAACTGTTAGCTCTCTACATTTTCCAAGTAGCTTGCCCAACACTTTTGATAAGTTTGGACTTTGTGCACACAAGATATGGGCATATTAGTCATAATGGGCCGCACCTAACAAATGTGTCGGATCATGTCTGCAACAACAGATCCAAATTCTTTTGATAACTTTTTTTTCCAGCATGTGCAATGTGTGGCGAAGGAGGAGTTACAAAACATATGGTTTTATCCAAATAGAAAAGTTATGTTATCTTATATGTTTAATGCATGTTTGCGGTTATCGGTGAAAATGTAAAGTAGCTTATTATAGCATCACCCTGTGGCCTGTTTTCACAAAAATTTGGTACACACTTGTTTTCACATGATATATGAATATGTCCATTTTCATACTGGTATAGGACATTCAGAATTTATTAGCTGCTGAGAATGGACTGCTGGTGGCCATGTTGGTTGGTTTATTTATTGATTGATTGATTGATTTTTTTTATAGTTGAGTCATATTAGAAGATATGTCGTCCCACCAAAGAAGATTCAAACCAATTTCAGACTTCACAGATCATTTAGTAATACTGTTATTAAGGAGTTTACTTGTAAAGTGTCATTTTAATTCAACTTGGCGAGCATCCGCAGAATGTCATGTGTGTAATAGTACATTGTTGGGCTTGAGAAAAGGGTTTAGGGTTTCAGAGTTAAAACGCAAATTGCCTTCTTATAGCGCCACCTAGCGTAAGACGGATGCATGTCTGTGCACATGAGATGATGGGACCATCCTGCTAAGACTGGGGTCTCTACGATTGATGGGCTTTAATGTCCTCTGACTTCTTTGGACACTCAAGGGCAGTAAGCAGTTAAACTATCTGTGCTACAAACCAGGGCTGCGTTTCTCAAAAGCATCGCAAGCCTAGCTCCACTGGTGACATTGGTTCTACTTAAGCTTACAATGCTGGGAAACGCAGGCCAGTTTGAGCGATCTCAAACTAATCCCTGTGCCTAATGAGCGATCATTAATGTAATGTGACTCTCGACTCCTCACTCACCCGCAGTCTCAGAGACGGCCAGTGATTCGAATGACTCCAGCCTTCCTACATTAAGAAGCATACTGCACAAGATAGCTTCGAGGCCGGTAGCGTCAGGATACTACACGGCCTTCATGCCCGTACTGGTCTGCAATGCCTTAGGGAGCAGCCTGGGCTGAAGGACCCCATGTCTGAGACTCTCAGGGCT